AAGATTCTTGGCCTAAGAGAGTTTTGGTGGTTTGAAGCTTGAAGAACCTAGGATTTTTTCTTCACTTTTCTTCTTGAACATGTACTGCTCTATCTCCAGGCCAAATACTAATATTTTTTACACTAAGGGGCTGTATTTATAGTGGAGGGTAATGGTGCAAAATGACTCTTTTGCCCTTGATGATTCCGGAATCTCGTTACACTACAACTTGTCCTGAAACACCTCAATTCGACATTTTATTTTAATCAAAGTTCTTAAAATTATTTTAAATTAAAATTTTAAAAAAAATAGATTTTCGTTAGTGGCCGGATTTGGCCGGTCCCACCTAGGCCACCCAGAATACTTTTTTTGTCTAATTTTTGAAACTATTTTTGGTTAGGTTAAAATTCACACAGTAAGTGTATTTTAACATTTTAAGCATATTTTTCTTGTATGACATACTCAAATTATGCTCCTAAACATGACTTATGGTTAAATGATGCATGAATAGTGTTTTACGTTTGTTGAAAAATTTATCTTCACTTTTCAAATCTCCACATGTGAGTTTTTACTATATATAACTTTTCAATAGACAAGTTTGGTATATGTGTATTTTTGCTATTGTTTTTTGAAATCACATATAGTTTATGCTCTATGTGCATTTTTAAGAGATAAATTTATCTCAATGTGAATATGTATCCACCCACCCCTCCCCCTCATTTTTGATGCTAAACTAGAATGCAGATTGTAGTTGTCTATTTCATTGTGATAGTGATGTACGTATTTGCATTTAATCTTGCCACATTGTTGTGCAATCAACATAATGATTATTGATTTAACAAAATATTTAAGCATATATTTTAGGGATAGTAAAAAAATAGGAAGGAAGATTTAATTCTTCCTCACTTCATTTGAAGTTTAACTCTATTAGATGTGCAATGAACCTAAATGGTCAAAGTGAAGTTTCGCTCTATTTGATGTGCACGTATGATTTTTCTTTACGGTTTTCTAATTTTTTTTTTATGGTTTTCATTTGAAGTTCAACTCTATTAGATGTGCAATGAACCTAAATGTTCTTCTTGCTTTCTAATTTTTGTGGTTTCAATCTGGTCCTCTCTAGCCATTGTGACTGAAAAAAATATTGCTTAACATTATCATTGTGAAGTAATGAAGATAATTGCCATAGTTATGTCAACCATATGTACGGAGAACTTAACACTATATTTTATCATGGTTTTTTGTTTTTCTGTTAAAGGTTGATGAGTACATGATAATGTGTTTCATTTATTAAAGTTATACAAAATTGCATTACTTCAATCTATCATAATATAATGCTAGAACTATTGATTAATGATCTCTTTGCTAAAAGACCAAATACTGAATTTTACATCTTTGTGAATATTATGTGGCAGAGATTTCGTCAATTGGACCTGTACGGATGTGGGCTGGATTTTCTTTCCAAAAGCCAATGGAAGCTCATATATTGAAAGCAACACAACTACCGTTGGATAGATGTTTCTATTCGATTATGATTATGTAAAATCATTATTTACTTTTATTGTAATTTCAAGTCGTGTTTTTAGTCTATAATGAAGCTATGTCACGTATAATTCATATCTAAAATGTTTCTTCTTAGTAGTTAGTTTGTTGGTCTTACCTTTTTTTATGAAAGATTAAGGTGTTTGTTCCAAGTTTTAAAATTGGATTGTGTTGAAGTTGGGAATCTATGATAATGAATCTTGCGGCTTCAAAAAGTTTATTTTTATTGAGTTTGGTTTATTACATGTTTTTTGGATTCAATTATGCACTAAGTTAGAAATTTGAGCATTAATGCTTTGGGGAATAGTTAAATATTGGATTGTCGTAGTGACAATAATTTAAGGTTTTTTGTTTATCACATAATGCCTTTAGGCATGGGTAACTACTAGCTATATATTTATATTTAAGTCATTACTATGAATATGAGCGGTATAAATACAAAATAAGTATGATTGTAAATATTCTAGACATGTTTAGATTTTTCTGGACTTCTATTTTTAAAGAAAACAATGTCGAAATTTCTAAAAAATAGTAGAGATTAGATTGATTTCAATTTCTTATATTTAAACAAATGAAGTAAAAACTATTTTAAATTGACGGTTTGTTTTAGGTTGCAAAGTGCTTTTAGACAATATAGTATTTTTCAAGTTTTAATTTATTTTTTTGCTATGTTGTGCTTTCAGGTACTAACAATTACTAGTTAAAGATGATAGAGGAGACCAATGCAATTTTCTGAAATAATTCAAAATCAAAAGAATTTTTGGGGGGGAAAGGCTTTGCATGCAAGTTTTTTTTTCCCCCTAAATTGATTATTACACGTAGTGTAGATATGTAGAAGTAAGTTAAAACGTTATTTCATATTGAAAAGTTTATTTCTATCATGGGTGCTATGTTATATAAACAAAACAATGTTTGCAAGGTAACTATGTGAATAAAAAAAGAACAAAAACTTAAATTGTGCATGTTTCAATTCTAAAATTATTTTTAGTATACTCAAAGATTAAAAGTTTTATTTAGACTTAATTACAAGGTCTTGCATATTTTCCCAAAAATGTTCATTACTCACCCTTGTTATAGATGTAGGGATGATAGTGGATTGGGGCGAGATAAAGGGAGTAGTCTTCATCCCTATACCTGTTTTAAAAATATCTGTCTACCCCTAGTCTGCCTCCGTTAGTGGAAAAATTTTTAATCCCTATCCCAGCTCCGCAGGTAAATTTTGATCCTCGTTCCTGTCACTCTCTCTGTTCATAACAATTAATTTCTATAATTTCAAGACATTTTTTTTAAAAAAAATAATAATAAAATCTCATAAATGGATTGCAAAAATGATGAAAACTCATTATATAACAAATAAATCAAAAATGTTATTTTACAAAAATAATATGTATAACAAATGTATGTTTCATTTAATATATATATATATGTATATTACAAGTTCAGCGGACGGAGGCGAGGCAGGGATGAGTTTCAGTCCATCCCTGCCTTCATCCTCGTACGTGTTTATATTGTTATTGTTGTATACGTCTACCGTTCAATACGTATTATCCACCCCAATTTAAACAGGACGTATTTAAACGAATACTCGTTTTTCCTCAGTTGATTGTCATTCCTAGATGTCATAAAAACAATTTTAGTGGGGCCTAACTTCAAACGATAATTTGTCCTCTAATTTATAAGGTATGTCCTTTATTATATAGATAACTAAGGTATATCTTCGAGTGAGGTAGTTCAGTGGGATATCAGTCGAATTTCTCATTTTGAGGTTGGAGGTTCGAGTTTTGGAGTCCATATTGAGACTCGGTAGTTGATTGTTATACTTACATAATTAGATTCGTTTCTGAGAGCAGTAATGAGTGTGATCAAGGGCCTCATAATCCTACCAACGAGAGCCTATCGGGATGGTCTCTGAACACTCTCCTTTATCTCACCCCCTTTTCAATTATAAAAAAAAAAAAGATAATTAAGGTATGTATGTTATTCATGGTGATTGCAATTCATAAAAACTAATTCTAGAAATCGAGCAGTTTGAATAAGAATGCTTCAAGAGTTACTTTTTCTCGATGTTCAAGTTTGAGTATCAAGAGAGACAGCCTTGTTGACGGCACAGAAGGGGTCCCATAATTTTTTGCTTATGACATATGTTTCATTCACAACTAGAAAATATTGGGAAAGGCAATGCTACCGTTAGCGGTACGGTGCCGAAAATTTTGACCTTTTTAATTAAATTATAATTTTTTTGAGGGATATGATATAATTTATAAAATGTATGACCAATTATAAAAGGTTGTAATTGATATCAAAAATTACAACAGATTAAATTATAACTACTCAAAAGAAGTCCATGATAGATCATGGACTTCTTTTGAGTAGTTGTAATTTTTTTTTTTGATAGTATAATTTTACAATTAAAAATTATAGGGGTTAATTTCACTAGAGGTCCTCAAAATATAGAGTTTGTCTCATTTTAGTTTTTAATGTTTCAATTGTATTATTTTAATCTCTGAAGTATTTAATATATTTTTATGTAGTCTCTCAATTAGACAAAATCAAAATTGTTAACTATTTTTGATTATAAATTTGTCACGTAATACCTAAATATGAGAAAAAATAATAATTTGGATAACTCTTGATTAAATTTTTACCTAAATTTTGGTTAAAGAGTTATCCAAATTACAATATTTTTATCATAAATTATCCAAATTTTGGTCAAGAGTTACCCATATTATACATTTTTTATCAAAATTTACCCAAATTTTTCTCAAGAGTAACCCAAATTATTTGTTGCCCATAGTTATATATCACGTGATAAGTTTATGATCAAAATCCGTTCGTCATTTGGATGTTATCTGTTTGAGGGACTACATAGAAACATATTCAATATTTTAGGGACTAAAATGATATTATTAAAATATTAAGTGCAAAAATGAGACAAACTCTATATTTTTAGGACTTCCGGTACAATTAACCCAAAATTATAAGTTTTTATACAGTGTAATTTTTTTTTTGGTTCCCTAGACTTTCTCAGAAATATTTATCTCAATTTTCCTTTATACTGTAAAAAACAAGGTTGAGCATCAGGGCTCTGGTATATCCTATGGATATTTAAATACAAGGGACAAACACTTGGTCATGTACAACTCAACAAACCTCCAAAAACGTGTATAATATAAACTCTATTATCACATCATAGCCGTACTTTATTCTCTCTCATAACTTAAAGAATACTTGACCCTACACATGAATGTAATGCTAAATTTGAATGTTTTTTAACCTATAGAAAGTGAAGGACATAACCAAGAATTTTATGTTTTGGATATTTTGTTTTGAGTTTGGAAGATTAGTTTAGAAGAAAAGGATCATACATGTGACTTGGCCTAGCCTTAAATTCAGGAGCAAAAGAGTGCACACTCTATCTCATTTTCAACCCACCCTCCTTATTTGCAGCATTGTTAGCCTCTTCTTCTACCACCCCTAAAAAAATGGACTCCAAATTTCAAACTCCAAATGCTTCTCCATATGTGAGTGCACCCACCAGCCCAACTGGGTGCAGCCTAATGCAGTTCTACAGCGCCCCGACGAGTCCCATCGGAGGGGGAGGGAGTGGTTCATTTGGTGGTGGAATTTTGGAAACAAATGAAGATGTCAATTCCAGCCTTGATGATTTTGAATTCGAAACTAGTCGAAAATTTGGTAGTGACTTTGTATTTGAGGCAAGTCCCAAGTTTGAGTACCTAGTGGATGATGAAAAGCCAAAGAAAAAGCAAAATGGAGGAGTTGGAAATTCATTTGATTCAATGGCTTTTGCTGATGAACTGTTTTGTGATGGCCAAGTCTTGCCTCTTAAACTGCCTCCCCGGCTCCTGTATGGTAATGATACTAAATGTGCTGGAAATAGTTCAATCCCTGCTTCGCCCAGGTCCCCAAATTCTGTCATCAAAATCCCATTTGCACGACGGATTACATGGAATGATGATTTTGATCCATTCATGGTTGCTTTGGAGAAAGTAAGGGAAGAAAAGAGAGGGAGAAACAAGGGAAACGATCATAGGCGCACTCGGTCTCTTTCACCATTTAGAACCCCCACTACTTTCAAGTGGTCCATTGATTCTGGAGGATTGAACCAACATCAAAACAAGCAAGAGGGTCCTCTAGAACCAATGCATAAACAATTGGAATCAAATCCAAGTGATCTGATTGTATCCAAGGGCCCAACCCCACAAGAGAGGCCAAGCAAAGAAGAACAAGCCAAGGACAAGGGGCTTTCTTTTAGGAAGAGAGAGAAAACTGTGAAAAAGGGCCAGGAAGGACCCACCATGAGCATTTCAACTAGCTTTCCAGGGCCAACACTGAAGAAGACTGGTGAGGGTACTGTAGAAAATGGTGCGGGCTGCATTGTGGAGACTAAAATGGGCAAAATGAAGGGAATTCTCATGAGGTATGCATCTTTTGGGGGGGAGAGAGAAAGCAGTGAAGGCAAGGAGACAGGTGATAATGCAGCAATGTGGAAGCCAAGTTACTTCAAGAAATTGAGCTTTAAGTTTAAAGGAAATGGAAAGAAGAAGAGAGCGTCTGAAGAGTCAAAGATGGCAGTTGTAAAATACAAGCCAACATCGTATCTTTGCGTGGGTTATGGTTTTGAAAAGTCCTAGGAATTTCAAGTGAATGTGCTACAAATTTTTCTGTGCGCTTGTAGAAAATTTGAGTGAAGATCTAATTAAAGTTGTTGATGTGTGGGTTTGAAATGCTTCTATTCCTTTTGCAATAATCCCCTTCTTTTTTTTTTGATAGACAAAAGGTTACCAACTTGGGTAAATACAAAAGAGTTACTTTTTGACATTGTATTGAATGTTATAACTCAAACAAGTGAGGTTACGGCTCAATTTGAAAAAGATTATGACAAAATAGAGTCTTTTTGAATTAGTCATAAAATATTAGGATTGATCCATCTAGGGCTGACCCAAGTTCAAAAATTGAATTGTAACTAAGTTATATTTTGTAATAACTTTCGGTACGTATATATTACTATCTTATTCGTTCATTCCCTTGTGGATCCTACTTATACTATGTTTAGACACAATTGATTTTCCTCCTGTTATATTCTTTTTGACCTTCTTTCTCCAATTTTTCAATTTTTTCCTTTCCTTTTACCCTTTTGTAAAGGGTGGGATTGATGGATAGACATTCTCAAAAAGACAGTGTTTTAGGATGTAGCTGCCTTAAGCTCTCTCAAGGAACTACTTACACCTAGACCCTTTTTCCCCCAGTCTTTTGAAAGCTTTTAGTTGTGAAGAGTAACAAATATAATGGATGGACCAAAGAGAGCTTCATAATTTCCACTCTGAAACTACATAATTATTGGTTATATCATGGTACAACCACAAATTTTTCTTACTTTACGTTGGGATATGTTGGTTAGAAAGGATAGGATACTATTTCTCATGAATCTTTCTACTGTGTTGTATCAAAAATTACAATTGGATCAAGTTGAGTTACAACTCAATTATAAAAATTTACGGTTCAATCGAATCAAGTTGGTGCAAATTTCATACATCTCATGGGGCCACTGCTTTGTAGATTATAAGTTTAAGAGAGAGAGAGAGAGAGAGAGAGAGAGAGAGGGGAATATGCAAGCACTTCAACCATATTTACTGTTTCTGTTTAAAAAAAAATCAATCAAGCACTTCTATTTTGTTCTCCATTCTAGATAACCAAACAATGTACACTCAAGATTATATGTAACATGGTAGTTATACATCACTTTCAAGATTGGGGAGGCAGTTTGCATATTCGCCATATGAATTCTCCCAACGAAAAGCAGCTCCATACAAGACCTCTCTCACTACAAATTTTTGGACTGGTCAGATATATGTAATTGTACCTCCTCCAACGATGCAGAGTAGCTACTTTCATCACTTCATCTCACAACGCTCAACTTACAATAGAACAATCTTACTATTTCCCCAGACCAACCCCCAAGTTGTGATTTAGAGAGGAAAGATGTCATCTATGTTCGAAACGCAATACAGTTGCAGTGAGCATTTTGGTTGATCTATTCCAAGACTTCAGCTGGCCAAAGCCGCTTCCATGTGGAAATTTCGTGAGTACTGTGAATTTTCCTCATTCCTCCATAAAATCCATCGACTTCATTTCCTTTTTCTCGATGGTCTTTCCTGTTGATCGTCGTGCATCTCCACCGTGAACCAGGAACATACTGGTTGAACTCTAGCACCACCATATCTGTCACCACAAATCCAGAATCAGAAAATCTGATAAGCATACAGTAAACACTTTCACCAGGGTTGGGGTTGGGGTTGGGCAGGGGGGCCCAGAGGGGGGGGGGGGGGGGGTTGCACCAGTGCCAACCTATATCGTTTGTAGTTTAGGTAATAATCTTGACAATTAACTATTAAGAACCACCCAATGTTTTTTTGGGAAGGTATAAGATCAACATTATTACAACCTTCAAATATTATAAAATGCACCGTCTTGCTACAAGCTAATGTTTGATAATCAAACCTAGAAATTCAAAATAAGCAAAAGATTCTTAGCACCTTCCAATATTGCAATCGATAAATTGTGAATTCGAGTTCAGGAATCGAATCCTCAGAAATACGTGTAAATGTTCAATTTAAATGTGATACCGTGGCATCTTTGACACGTGTTATCACAATTTTGCCTACATCGTCCAGTGCAATCTAGTAAAAACCATATGTTGGAAATTCACTTTACCGCGTGCTAGTTTATAGGGATACCATGTGTCCATAGATAGAGACAGATAATATTGCCTGTCACTTAGCTCCCTTGCAACTTGTTATTGGCGGAAGTATTGTGCACTAGTTTTTTATAATGGGATCTCTAGATCAAATATGATGTCCAATATGTAATGAAGATTCACTCACATCAGCCAGCATAAAACAACAGTGGGAAAGGGGCTCTCTGGCAATGGCACTTTCCAACTTAAAAAAACAATATGCTCTGTTTGGTTGTCGAGCAGCCATATTAGAATAATGAAAATAATTCATCTTTCATAATCCTAGCTCAAAAAGCAGAATCATTTCACCTCTACAACCAAACAAGCCGGAAAGAAACAATTAGGTCTTTTTCAACCAGTTGGTTGGCCTTAAATATTCCACAGAGACAGCACTTATGGCAATGTTGGGAGATATTATAACATAGTGATGAAGTTTCGTCTTGGGGATCAATTATATGGCACCAAGATGACCCACACATACCACAGATGGGAGTCAAGCAAGGGCCTACCATGAACAGAGGTCAAGTTCACAATAAAAAGCTATCTAGCCATCTCAACAACTTTCTGATCATTGTTAATGCCTTCATGCAAAGAATTTTCTAGACAAAGGAATACTGTACTGTACTAATTCAATATTGTATTGAAAAACTATGTCAAGTTGCAAAAATGATCAGAATTATTAGGTTCTTGGGATTGACCCTAAAAAGCATAAGATCAATCCTAAATAGTTGGGCAATCTCAAGTTTTCGACTTGATTCCAAATCGATCTTATTGAGTCCAAACTTGATATATTTGAATTGTAATTTGACATGATTATAACTTTTGCACATTATTTTAGGGGATGAGTTATATATCTCTAATAGTTATGTCGGAGAAGGATAAAATTAACTCACCACTTTCATGGCAACGGCAGTGACTGTGATTCCCATCACAAGATCCCAAGTGGCCTATAACACCATACCACCAGCCTGCATATACATGGCACACAAGGTCAAGCAGAGAATCTATGAAGATTTGTTCATATCTGCAAGGTGTCCAATACATTCAGCTTGCCTTTCAAAGAAAATTTGAGGAAGAATCACATCAATATATAAAGTTTATTCACTGATAGGACTCCCTACCTAACAAGAAAGACCAATCACTCCAATAATATGAATATTTATACAGCATAGTTGGGCATCACAAGTAATTGGGTTGAAAAAATTATAAGTAATCATTTATCCAAACAATACGTCATGAGCACTAATCGAGGAATCAGCTTCTTCAAAATAAAGAGAAAACCACATCCTATTTACCTCTTTTAGATCCAATTGTAGGTGAGACTTGAGAGCATCATACATCGACTACAATCTGTAATTTTTGTTGGACAACATTGTAGATGATATTCCAAGCAAAAAATTATCTAGCACAAGGTATCTGAAGAAATCAATTAGGTCCCTACTAAGCAGCTAAACACTTCTTATGCGCTGCAAATCTGCTTTTTGACAAAACATTTGAAACAACAAATGGGGAAGCCATTAGCCATCAAAGTTGGCACGGAAGTCTTTCTTCTTTGACACACTTCCTCCATATGAAAAGGATCTTTAACCAGCTACCTACTACCTACGACTTAAGATAAAGAAAAACAAAAATCAAAGGGTAAATGACAATTTTTTCCCTAAAATTTTAAAAATTGTGTGCATCCCCTCCGAGAATAAAAATCTCACACTGCACCTTTTATTTGGGGGGCATCTTGCAATCAGTTAAGGAAAATTAAGAGTGTAATGCGAGACTTTAAAAATCTATCAAGTAACAAAGTGATATTCACCCAAGGTAGAAAGAGAAGTTTCAAAATAAACCAAACATGACACTGAATTAGTGAGAATTAGATGAAGGAAAATATAGAGACGTGCAAATTAGAACAGAGTATAGAATGAAGAACAAACCATAGGGGAATTCTTTGTTTCTTCTCCACTGAATCTCAATGTGATCACCGGGGCATAATTCATTCAAACAATCAGAAATATGAAGATCATGGGGAGATGTACCAACAGGGGGTGCCCTTATCCTATCCCATGTCACCCCACTCTCTAATGCTACTGACCTCCTACCATGTGGTGGATATCTGCAATAAAAAGTCCATGTGAAGTTCAACCACCCATCAAACAGACTATATGTTATTAAATAGAAGGCACTGTAGGAATTTACAATAAAAAAAAACAAAAAAAATTAGTTCGCGTCATTGCACTCGAGAAAGATCAAATATACGCAATCTTATCTAGTGCAACAAGACTGTTTTTGCGCCGCGAAACTGTTTTTGAAACTCTAACAAGTAACAAGTGACACTTGGATGAATGAAGTAAGGCATCTCTCCAAGTACCTGGCCTCGAAAGTACCCGTATGGGGATCATAGTTAAGCTTGGCATCATAGCATGATAACATAAATCCAACATGCCCATTCTGCAGAACAAGAACCAACACTCTGTCATTGAAAAAACAGATTGAATCCTACTGACTTCCCAAAAACATCATAAGTGAAGAGACTGAAACAGAATAAACGCGTAAAATGAGGCTATGATCAATACCTCGCGGTTATAGACCTGAGCCGGAAACCAGAACTTGCCGGCCTCAAGGGCAAGATACCAATGCATAATTGAATCAACTGGCAGAGAATTCTTCCTCGTGCTATTATTTTCAAAATTAGATCTAACTAATGAAAGAGGCCACAGCTTATAGAGATAACCCATCAAGCCTCTTTGATTGCCTTGCTCAAAGAAGCTCAAATCTTTTCTTGAGGCAACATGAAACTGCCACTCCCGGAACGCGGCTGAATCAATAATTCCACCCCATTTCTGTTTCATGTGTTTTTCCCAGAGATAGTCACTCATACATCTCTCCCTTAAAGAACTACAAACACCAGCCATCCTACAAAGCCCATCTGGTGGAAGCCTCTCAAGAATGCATTCCAATACCAATTCAGGCAAATCTAAAAGGGACATATCTCCATTTAGCTCAACATTCTCAACTTTTGAAGCAAGAGCCGCCTTCTTGATTGACATTTTTGAGGGTATTAAGGTGATACTAACTGAAAGACTATTATTTATCCACTTGATCACAAGAAAGAATGGGAAATCTTTCCAAAACCAGGGTGTTATCAATCTCATCTCACAAGCCCACTGTGGAAGTGGCTTCAGGGAAAGAAATTTGTGGAAGAGAACGAAGGAAAAGCAAGTGATCAAGAAGAAAAGCATTTGCCAAAGGTAATAGTCTTATGGGTAGGATAAAAGTTGGACATAAATACTAAGGGGAGATCAAAAGTGAGTCATCAATTGTGGAAAAGCAATGGTAAATAAGGAGACACAGATTTGTCTTCTCTTTCTTCTCAATCCCACTCAAAAAGAGATGCAGTACCCCTTTCAAATTATGGGTTTTATTGATTTGACGAAGCCCACCAAAACCCAGAAGTGGGGCCTCGTCAAAGTAGACAACTCAAAGAGGGTCACCAGTTGATTCCGCAAGGCTCATGAATAAGCATGGCTGAAACTCACAGAATTCAGTCTAAAATCCAAAGGAAGTAAAAAATTTCCTTAAAAAATGACTACCACTGGCTATGATCATAAACAAGACCTTTTATAGATTGACCCTAAACAGCTGTCAAATTATATAGAAAATAAATATTAGAAAAAGAGAGTAAATGGGAATTGTTGGAACAGAGAGAATAAGAAGGTGGGCATTCAGATCAGTTATGGGTTTCTGACACCTCAAAATCCCAATGGAAGTTGGGTATGAGTCTAGATACAAAGACCCTTTATCCAAATCTCTGAGTTCTTGCGAATCAAACAACTCTTGGAAGACAATGAGGTGGGAAACAATATATGGGTAGTTGGACTTGAATCCAAATTAGGTGTAACCAACAACTAAAGATTTGTGCACCAAGTAAAATATTAAAGAAAGCAAACTTATTGAAGAAACGACTGAGACAAGAGAATCCTTGGTGGGCTGAAGAAAGATATGGAGACTGATGAAGAAGATGATGATGGAGCTTAGGAAGTTGTGGGGTCTTCTTCAGTCCATCAAATTCTTCTCCATCACAACTCACAAAATCGTCCTCCACCCACAGAAACCTCAATGCCCGTCTCTCTCTGTGTGTGTGTCTCTCTCTCAAGCACAAGAACAAATGGGTACTGGGCCCAAAATACAGAAGAAACAAAAACCGTTTAATTTATTACCTGATTGGTGTATGGGTGGTTTACAGTTAAAGGGCGTTTTTTTGAGTGTTTTTGTGTGGATATCAAAACGACGATGGTCTCTCTCTCCCTCTCCCTCTCAGAAGGCTCGAACAAGTGGGAGGAAATACCGGCCCACCGGTAAAAGAGACCGCGGGAATGACATATGATTGCAATCACAGATATTATTGATGGTTAACAATTTAACACGGGGGATAAAGTTTAAGGGTGTCCAAAAAATAATCATAATTTCCCTATATAATATTGAAATTTCTAAAAAATTAAATTATACTTTATAAAAAAAATATTATATAATTAAGGTAATTAACAATCAATCTTGAATTTAATTATCTCTTATTTTAATTTGACCATTAAAATTTATAATATTTATGATTGATCTTAATATTTTATGATTATATTATTTTGAACTTTAATTTAAAGGAAAATTTTCAGCCACACACTTATTCTAGTTTTTATTATATATTTAAGGACATCATCTCTATCATCAAAAATATCATTGACATCTCTTCTAATTTATATAAAAATATTAATAACACCCCATATCATTAAACCACTATTTTTAACAAAAAAAAATTCATTTAAAATACTAAAAATGACCCTACATAAACTCCAAATAATTTTTCTACATAAAATTTGAGTCGGTTAAAATTTATTTTTTTACATATTAAAATTCGAGTTAATTAAATTTTTTTTATACATATTAAAATTTGAGCTGATTAAAATTCGATTCGTGCTGATTAATTTTATTTTTTTTAATTATAAAATTCGAACATATTAAATTTTTTTACATATTAAAATTCGAGTTGATTTGAACTTTACTTGACTTGATAGCGTCAATTAAAATTTGATTCGAGCTGATTAAAATTTATATTTTTCATTTATTAAAATTCGTGTCAATTAAAATTTGATTCATTAAAGAGTCGATTATTTTTTTTATGTATCAAAATTCGGACTGATTAAAAATAACCTGATCTTCTTCTCCAAGTAATATGCAGTCACCCAAAGAGTAAGAAACTCCATTAAAATGGATTAATCAAGTTTTTCAATTGGTAAACTATTATAATTTGTATGTTGTTTCTCTTCTACAACTCGTGTCATAGTCACTGATTTTACTATAGTACTGGGTAGAGCTATGATGCTCCACCTCTGATCATCTTCTTGTCCATTAACCAGTCGGACACTATTGTTCACAAGCCTACAGTACTACAACTTAAGCACCTTTCACCTTTCTAATTCATACATCATGAATGATGAATTATATAGAATTGATATATAAAATCGTATCGGGTCGGATGACTAATCTCCCCTGACTCAATTATAAATATTGTTATGCTACCCCAGTCCTTCACATGGATGATACACAGTTCCTCCGTTGTTGGGATAATGGTGGAGGGTGTGTTATTGTAGACGCGAATTAGAAACAGCCAAACTAAAAGATTTTAAAATTTTTTATTTTATACTTTTAAAAATTAAATTTCTCATAGTATTATAATGTAGTTATTTTATTAGATTTTCGTTATTTTTTCGGTTAGTGTTAATGAGTTGGATTTTGATAAAAAAATAACAAAAATTAATAGAAGAATTATTTTGTAAACTTATGATATATTAAAGGTATAATATAAAAAATTTAATCTTTAAAAATATAAAATAAAAAGTTTAAAATCTTGCAGGGTAAAAAGTGTATAAAATCTTTTTTAAAAAAAAAAGGCAATAAGACCTTTCTTGAAGTACGGTGGATAAGGTTTTCTTGCAGCTTAGAGACTCAAAAGGGTCGGGGGAGGGGGTCCTCCCAAGGATGACACCTTGAAAAAGCTTGATGCTACTGGTGGACATACGTGGCTCAAAAATAGCAATGCTACAGTTTAGGCACCCACAACAATGAGCAGTCACTACCACACTAAAAATCAATCCTTTATATAGTCATGCAAGATATGATAGGCATATTAAATGATTATGTTTGCTAAAGGACCTTAATGTTGACATTAATGGGGGAGGTGGTGGGAAAGCAACAAAATGTGTGACAGATGAATGCATTTACCCAAATGACATTTTTGGCACCACTAGCTCTCAAACCTTGCATATAATTCTTGTATTTAATTTGTCGATCGAATTTTATGAAATAATTTATTTTTGGACAATTGGGAAAAAATCGTATTAAAAGTTATTATTTTTTATTTTTAATTTAAACCTTTTAGAAGTAAATTTATATTTACTTAAAGTAATTCATGATTGAGTAGTTGTAATTTAACTTTTAAAAATTGTAATTTTCATGATCGATCATAATATTTTAGGATTAACCATGTTTTTTATAGTTGTATCTTACACTCCAAAAAATAATTTTTGACATGGGTACTAAATGTCATACTATAATTTTTCTCAGATTACTTTTGTTGTTGGATTCATATTATATTAAATATTTAATAGAATTCATAATTAATCCAATAACAAGGAGTGATAATATATTTTTTTTGGGTAAATTTCATTGACACCCTGGATTTAAGTCAGATTTCATTAGTACTCCTTCTAGTTTCTAAAATGTTACTACTGCACATCCCTGTAGTTTATATACATGTTTCACAAACTATATATAGTTTGATGTGATGGTTTATTCTTTTATGAATTACCAAATTTACCCTTGGTCGTCTATACTATTAAGTTTAAAGTAGTATAAAACATCATTTTAATATTAATTAAATGCTAATTGGATTAAATAGAATATTTCCTATAAAAAATGAATCAAAAAAATGTTAATTTAATGTTAATTTTAAAAATAATATTAATTTGATAAAACTAAATATTAAATTCAAAAAATTGAATGTTAATTTTATAAAATTGAATAACCATTTGATATTGATTTGAAGAAATTGAATGTTAATTTGAAATTCAATCAAAAAAATGATGTTAGTTTGATAAATTAGATGTTAAATTGATGAAATTAAATGATAATTTAGAGTTTATTTGATGAAATTGAATAATAATTTGGTGTTAATTTTATAAAATTGATTATCGATTTGATTAGATTGAATATTAGTTTACTAAAATAAAATGATAATTTTATAAAATTTAAGATCAAGTTCATGTTAATTTGGTAAAAGCTTGTATTAATTTGATGAAATTTAATGTTTTTTTTGGTGTTAAATAGATCAAATTGAATATTAATTTAATGAAGTTTAATGTGATTTTGATAAAATTGAGTGTTAATTTCATGAAATTGAATTTTAATTTGGTATTAGTTTAATAAAATTGAATGTTAATTGGATGAAATGAATACTAATTTGATGAATGAGAGTGTTAATTTGGAAAAATTTAATGTTAATTTGGAAAAATTTAATGTTAATTTGATAAAACTTAATATAATTTGGTGATAATTTGATAAAATTAAATATTAAAAGGTCAATTTGATGTTAATTTGATAAAATTATAGATTATTTTTGTATTAATTTGAGTAAGGGTAATTAAGTAAAATGAGAGTTTTAATAAGGGTAATTTAGTAACATTACATATTCTATTAGGAAACAAAAACTGACGAGGGAATGTAGTGATCTTTAAAAAAGTAGGGGAAAATATAACTTAAATCTAGGAGGCGTTAGTGAAATTTATCCCCTTTTTTGTCTATTTTCTTTTTTTGATAGATCACGTATTAAGAATTCAACTAAAACTCATCGTATATAAGTAACTTTTTTACTCATTAATGATGGATAATTTGTCAAGAAAAAAAATATTAGAATTAATTCTCATCCCAATAAAAATAAATTAGATTGATAAATTACGTCTAAGTATTTTTATTTCCCTTTTTTAATGTTTATTGGTTGGTTTTACGACAACTTCATTCAATCTCGAATACCATTTATATTGTCTCCAATAGTTTAGGATTTTGGAGTAGTTGATGCTTGAATATTATAACAGAGTTGATCATTAGCAGGTTGTGAACAACACTCTCCACATATATATATATATATATATATATATATATATATATATATATATATATATATATATATATATATATTTTGGGAATTCATTGTTACTTTATTTGTGTGTGGAACAAGTGCACATTGTTATATTTTCGATCCTATCATCTTGTTTTATGTTTTGGTATTATCATCAGAGGTATTTGCACTAATTTATACAAATACAAACTAATCCCTTTCTTCGATCCAAGTCAAAGGCGGGTTAATTTATGCGCATCATCTATCTCTTCAATGCAAAAAGGGCATTACATATTGGGGAATATTAGAGTTTGCATTACAATGCTATTATTGTACTTCTCAATATAATAAATAACTTTTGTGAGATCTTTCTATTCAATGTCAATTGATTTTGATTCAAAAATTTTGATATTATATCAAAACAGCATATATTCTATTTAAATCTCGTCGTTATCTTTGTAATTATAATAAACTTTAACCGACAAAGTATATAAATATATATATTATACGCTTTCTAAAAGTTGAAAATTTTAGTGGATGATTACCCAATTGCATAAAGTTGCAAGTTTTATTGGATGATTACCCAATTGCATCGATCAAGAGAGGACCTCTGATTCTCATTCATAGAGCTCTTCTTATGTGGGCACCACTATCTTTTGAAGAAGTTGCTTTTTTTTTTTTCTGATCTCTATGACAAAGATGTATTCCTGTTGATAATGCATGCCAGTCCCAAATTAAAAAAAAAAAAAAAGAAGAAGTTGATAATTCATGAGGTATACAAGGTCCTATATATACCAAAAAAGAAATAGAAAAACATTTTTATCAAATGAATTGACTGAATCATGGATCAACTGTAAACCTACTAATTTTAAATTTAAAATTTGACAACTCTCGTAATGAGAAATTTAATCCTCGTGAATTCTTTAATTTTAGTGTGAATAACTTATTTTTAATTCGATTGAAAAAGAAATGAGTTAATCTCAAATTACACTCTAAAAGATCGTTCAAATATCAATTTGTATTTACAAAGATAAAAATTTATATTAATACATACCTCAAGCTAACAATCGTCTGAGAATCTAAATATAATTAAAAATATTTTCTCAATTAGACATTTAAATAATTCTGTTTAAATGATGTATTGTATTAGATATAAAGAATATTATATAAATACCGGCATTATATTGTGCATTCAAATA